TCCGGCGGTGGCGGGGTTGGATGGCCCCCGCGGCGGGGGTCCGGGGTCCGCAGCCTAACACCGGCTTTGCCCCCGGGGATCCCCGCTCGACAACGGTGTTGTTGGCAAATGACTTAATGACATTTTACCACAGAGTATGGAAAGAGGGAGGGATGGGGGAAGTGGTGGGTCAGGGGGTTCTTACGCTACTATACAAAAAAGTGACAAAATGAATATTCGTAACTACCAGCCGATTACATTACTAACCGTGGTGTATAAAATGTTATCCAAAGCATTAGCAAACAGGATGACGCCGATATTACAACAAATCATCCACCCCTCACAAACAGGCTTCCTTAAGGAGCAGCGCATCCAGGATAACATCCTACTTGTAAATGAGTTGTTAAGGATATCCAAACAGTCCAAGTGTAATGTCGCTTTCCTCTTTATTGATTTTGAGAAAGCATATGACCATGTGGATTGACATTTCTTGGATAAATGTCTGGAAAAAATGAACTTTGGAAGCACCTTTACGAGATGGGTGAGGATACTTCATCAAAACGCTACCACTCGGGTTCAGATTAATGGGAATCTGGCCCCGGACTTCCCTCTGCAGCGATCGGTCCGTCAAGGGGACCCGATTGCACCATATCTTTTTGTGGTAGTGATGGAAGTCCTTGCAGCCAATCTTAGAGCCAACCAAAACATTAGCAGGATTCAGGTGGCCTCTATCCACGAGAGGCAATACAAGTTTGCTCATTGTTTGCAGGCGATCTGACTCTCATGGTAGAAGCCTCAACACAAAACATGGAGGAAATTGAAAAACTAGTGACTCGGTTTTGCGCCCTCTCAGACATGGTCATTAACTGGGGCAATAAGACATTAGGATGGTGGATGCATCATGATGGTGGAAGACCCCCAGAGCAGCCCCATGTGACGTGGCTCCCCTTGGAAACCCCATAAGAGTCCTAGGAATCCACTCTCGGTCGAAGGAAAGTCTGCTAGGCTGCTAGCAATGATAAT